ACAACCCCAGAATTAGAAGTTACGAAGCGTGTCGCATCTCCCTCGTTCAAAGTGTAAATGAGAAAAAAAAAAATAAAAACTATATAGCGGCCAGCATATAGGCTTGTATAAGGGTATCTATATAATGAATGCGAGGAATTTCGAACAATCGTGTTTAGTTTTAAGCAATTATATCATAATTTCACTACTATTTACAATGAAGCTCTCTCAAGGCTCCAACAATATTTAGCGCGCGTTTCACACATTGTGCTAGCCCCGAACACGAAAATAAATAAAGTCGCAAAAGTTCGCTAAAAATGTCTCCATAAGAACACGAGAGTGTTATTTTTGGTTGGCTTGGTTGTGAGGAAAGCTGAAAGTGGTGCTGCGGAATTATGGAAGTAGTAAACAATTGCGATCATTTACAAGCTCTCATGCAATCTATGTCTGCCCAGGGGCGTCGTTCTCTTTGTTCCTCGTGTTCGGGGACTTGAGTACAGAGCATACACGTTTCCAATACCATTCATACCCTTAGTATTAACGCGAGAGCGTGAAAGAGTGCCTTTCATTGAGATTCCGGCGTCGTCGGTTGTGAGCGAAAAATGGTCATAAGCTTGAACCACGACCGAAAAAAAACCGACACAGATGCAAGAAAAATAAATAAAGCCTGCCGATTCGAAATGAGGATCGAACCCAGGCTGTCTACGTATCAAGGAGGTGTTCAACCGCAGACACCCGACGTTGCCCGAACTTTCTTTGAAAAAAACAAAAGCAAATGTACGCTTATGTGGACGAGGTCTCCTTAATGCCTGTAATATTGCGTGACAGCATTCTAGAAGTGCATGAGGCATCAAAATTGAACTGCGCAACGAGTGGGTGGTTTTAAACTGCCCACCCATTACAAAGTGCGCATGCCAGGGTGCGCGTGGCATCTTACGGGCGAGTAGTGGATACCATTCGCCAATAAGCCAAAGGAGGAATTATGACGTAGAAGGCGCATAGCAAATGCATACATCCAGTGGACGTTCCGGGATAGTCTCAAATGGCAAATGTTACGCTCACGAACGTTCCTCGCGGCATGGTTGAAGACAATACGCCCGGGGCCCGATTGCGCTATCGCGTTTTGAAGAGGATGCTAAAGCGTGCTCCAAGTTTTCCCTCATCGAGGGAACGCTTCTTTGACGAGTCTTCTACCGACGATCGTCACACTGCAATTGTGCATGATGTTACAACACCGCAGAAGCTGAATACGATAGATGGATGGATGTATCCGGCCGTGCCTTTGTGGTCGGGTGGTGGCTCACGCCACCTAGCCATAATGTTAAGTACTATCACTGTATGTTTAAGGATTGAATTTCACTCGCGCCTCGATTGTAGGCACCAATCCGTTCGCCTCCTTCTGGTTATTTCTACCTGTCTAAAGTCTATTTTGCCTTCACTGTCCCTGAACCCCAATGCTTTCAAAAATTCGGCGCCATTGTCTTCGACTATAGGGCGGAGCCCTTTACAGAACATTATCAAATGTTCAGCTGTTTCCCCCTCCTCTCCACACGCACTACATACCGTGTCTGTGCCTTCGTATTTTGCTCGGTACGTCTTGGTCCGCAATACTCCCGTTCTAGCCTCGAAGAGCAAAAAACTACCCCAAGAATTATCGTAGATCTTTTCCCTTGCAATTTCCTGCTTAAACGTTCGGTAGGTCTCCAGTGATGATTTCGTGTGCATACCCATCTTCCACATGTCCCTTTCTGCTTCCTTCGCCTTCTTTAACCGATGTTTTCTTTTGGCTTAGTATTTTGCTGTTGTCTAAGTACTTGCTTGACAATTTTCGAGTTCGCTTCCTCCAATTAGTATCAACATTCTTCATGTATAAGTAGCTGAAAACTTACCTAGCCCAACGCTTCTCTCCCATTTTTCTCAATCGCTCCTCAAATTCTATCTTGCTGCTAGCTTCCCTGCACTCAAACGATGTCCATCCCATGTCACCCTGTACCCCCTGATTTGGGGTATTCCCGTGTGCTCCCAAAGCAAGTCTACCTATGCCACGTTGTTTACTTTCCAATCTTGCTTGAACTTCTTTTTTTTTTCATTCACAAGACTGCACTGCCGAATTTCAAACCCGGGACCGTGACAGATTTCAAAATCCCTCTCACAACGTCATACCTATTGTAGTTCCACAGTGCCCTATTTTTCATTACAGCTGCATTCCTGGTGCCCTTAGTAATTATGTATCTTTCGTGCTCCCTTAGATACTCAGCCCCGTTATTTATCCATACGCCCAAGTATTTGTATTTATCCACTATTTTTAGCGTGACTTCCTGTATCTTATGCTTACTGCCTTTGTTATCATTAAAAATCATATTGCCAATTTTTTCCTGCTGAACTTCAAATGTAACCTATCTTCCTCATTACCACAGATGTCTACAAATCCCTGCAGATCTTCATTGTTGTCGGTTATTAATACTATATCATATGCATGCATCAATGCTGGTAATGATTGTTCAATGTGTTTTTTCTTGCTTCGCAAAAGAGAGGCTGAAGCCGAGTCGAGTCCCCTCTAATTTGGCTTCTAGTCCCTGTAGATACAGCATAAATAACAAAGGTGACAAGAGACATCCCTGTCGAAGCCCGCGTTGTATCTCTATAGGTTCAGATACCTGTTCTTCCCATTTCATAACTACCTTGTTACTTTTATAGATATCCTTTAGAAGATAAGCTATTCCATCTTCCACATCTAGTGTGTCCTGTATTCTCCACAGGTCTTCTTGAATCACACTATCGTAAGCTCCTTTGATATCTAGGAATGCCAGCCACATGGGCCTGTGTTCTTTTTCTGCTATTTCAATACCCTGCATCAATGAAAACAGATTGCCCTCCAACCTCCTTCGTTTACAAAACCCATTTTGTAGTTCTCCCAGCACCCCCTCACTCTCCACCCATGTCTGTAGTCTTTCCTTTACTATCTGCATCACCAGCCTGTAAACTACTGATGTCACTGTTACAAGACGGTAGTTGTTTATAATGGCTTTGTCCCCCTTTCCTTTATAGATCATGCTCATCCTGCCTAGTTTCCACCCATTGGGAGCTTCACCATCCAATATTACTTTGCTCGCTGCCTCTCTTAATGTTTGCTTAGAGTATGGTCCTAGTTTCTTTATTAGCACGATTGGGATGCCGTCAGGGCCTGTTGATGTGCTATTGGGAACCCTCTTCCACTGTCGTTGTTCCAGTGGAGCCACTGATCTAATTGGTCCATCCTCATCTGGTACGGTGCATGCAGCGCTTTCTTGGCGTTTAAATTTTTCTGTCACCATTGTTTTTATATATTACATTGCCTCATCCCCTTCTAGTCTGACCCCGTGAACCCTAGTTATAAACATGTGTTTCATGCTTGTCTTATTACTCAAAGAATTACCATATGCAAATTACTGCCATCTGTCGGCCGTCGTGTGCATGTTGGAGGTGCAGCGCGGCGCGCGTGTTTACGTATACATAATCTGTATCGAAGTGAGGCGTGTATTGGCTGATAATCGCAATGCCGGCGTATTGCAGCGTCCCTTACTGCACACAAACAGGAATTTGAAATGCCGAAGGAAAAAGGTGCGGGAGTTCCGGCGGGAAAGTTCACGCGCTTGCCGGACACGTATTTTCCGCAAGACTGGGGCAACGATCAAAGTCTGTGTACAACTACTCTTTAAACGACCCCTTAAACAAACTTCTGAAAATACGAAGTACAAACGCGCTATCCTATCTTTCTCTGCGTTTTCCATGTTTGCGGCACAATTCTTGACGCCAGAGCAGTCTGCTTATCGGAATTCAGGATGATAACAAGCTCCCGATCGGTCGATAAAAACGAAATATATCGGTTGTGCAGTACTATATTGATTCTGATTTGTCATGCAATCGCACACTCGTTCTAGCTTGTGTCGCATGACTGTCGTGCACGACAAACTGGTTTCGCTTCATTTGCTGCGTTTGCGAATGCGCCAGAGGAGACAGCAGCGCCGAAAAGATCGAAATCCTGGCTAGTCCCACCCTTAATGCCGACCTCCCACGCGTTTCATCAGCAAAGCAGTGGCGAGGGGGAGATAGCGTTTGTAGGAAGGGTATACTGAAGGCGAGAAGAAAACTACTATATCGTCTTCGAACTCGGGGGTGGACGACTGCAGTTTTGGACGGTGTTGTGCCAGAGACATGGTTCTCGTGCGGGAGCCCTTCTTCCCACTGAAACGGAGGCATGCCACTTATAGAGTTCCAGCGAAGACATCCCCCCCCCCCCCTTCGCGGTTCCCGCCAAGAACCGGGAATCGGTCTCTGAGCAGAGACTGGAAAGTTATTTAAGATCATGTTTGAAGGATTGGCCCCAGCCGACGTCGTCATGCTGGCCGGCTTTGTACTAACTATAATCTGCTGTAGTAAACGTTGCTGTTTTCAAAACGACCGCCCCTCGATTCCACCTCTGGACGCAGGCTTCAGCGACGTCTATTCGGCTGCTCGCCTCTGTCGGCGACCGCTACCATCGCGACACCGCAGAAACCATAGCAACGGATGATGCGTGACCAGATCGTGACGACATAGATGATTCAGCAACGCGAACGCACCTCCTGGAAGCCGCGTAATCCGACAGACAGCTTGCGACAACCGTTGAAGCTGAAAAAGACGATGCGCATAGATCAGCATCGACAAAAGATACAAGGGCAGCCACTATCGTAGAACGACCACTGATAAGCGATGCGGTTGAGCAGCAGTACTGGCCGTACTGCGTGCGAGCCCGAGTAGACACTCGGCGACGTGCTGGCGACGCAGTGTGCTAGCTGTTTGCGGCAAGTGCAGGCAGGAAGACAGCTGACAAAGGTCTGCGGCGACTGCGACTGTGAACCGGAGATGTCGGATGGAACCACGTGTAGTACACCAAAGGAACAAGGTCCCTCAGCAACAGCTTGAGTTCACGGACCCTCAGTACTGCATACGGACAATGCACGCGGCCCATGCAGGCAACACTTTTCCTTAGTGCACATGACTTCATTGGTGATGTAAATTGGTCGACGTCGGTGCGAGCATCTGCATCTGAGGTGAGGATATGTTAAACGTAATTTCTCTGGTATCAAAATTCGGGTGCTGTGGCATTGAGTTTACAAGCTACTCAGGGGCAGCTATTTGCATTCCAGAGAAATTCTCGGCTTCAGGCATGCTAACAGCGCGAAAAGTAACGCTGGCCACTATTTGTTGTAGAAGTACCATGTTCAAGGCTGCTGGCTTGTGACTGCATTGAGGCATTCGCTACAACCTTATTGAAACCGAAAGAGATGAAGGCTCGCTCATGTTACAAGCCTCGTCAAAGAACTTGAAGACTTTTTTTTTTCTGACACGCTGGGTACAATAAAAGTCGTAGGGGTCAAGATTTCACTGAAGATCAGGATGAAATTTTTTCAGGAGAGGCAAGTGGCATTCGCACTAAAGGATAAAGTAATAGAAGAACTGCAACGTTTGCAAAATCGCAACCTCTGTCGTCCGAACGTCGGAGTGGGCTACACATGTCCTGAGCGTAGTCAAACAAGATGGTTGTTGTGGTGTTCGTGGAACGCCGTGTAGGATAGCGCAGCAGCAAACGATAATACACAAAGAAACAACGAATGGGCGCAAGTGACTGTGTCTGTATACGTATTTCCTTTCTTTGTCATTGTTTGATGCTGAGATATATACTTCAAGTGAATGAACGAAGACAGAACAAAAAGCACACGTGAAAGTATACTCGCTGATTCTGGGTGATTTTAAACTGCCCATTTATCCAATAGTGGTGAAAGAATGATATGTAATCCCCAAAATTAATCTGTTTGCCAAACCGAGCGGTGAAGACGAGTTCACTAACTTCACATCAGTGACGTGCACCAGTAAGTCCACTTGAGATTATAGTCACATAAATTTGTTAATCATGATGCGCAGAAAAGTCTATTACTATTCGCCAGACCTTCAGTTTTCGTAGTGTGAGCATTGCTTCAGCTTGAAATGGACAGCTTGCATCAAGATGGATCACACTTCTCTCTGATTTGTCTCAGAGTCCCCATTCCAGAAGGGTGCTTGTCCTCTGCGTCGAATTTGAATTCAGTCTCGTGTTTCTCTCAGCCCCATTCGAAATCCATTTCCCTGAACATTTTACGCAATACTGATGGTAAGATGGTGAGTCGATAATACTTTGCATAAAAACTCCCTGACCAAGGGATGTCGCTAGAGCCATGTTTCGACTAGGGAACTTCTCTTCGTCAAGGCACCGAATGTTTTCATTATCGGCGCGTATGTGTACGCTTTCCTCACTGTCTCCCAAACACAAAATAGCAGGAGGAGAACAAGGCAGTTTGAGCAAAGTGCCCGGAAATGAAACTTAGAAGAGTTTCAGCGTCCGAAATATCACACTTCCTTATAGTCATCTATGAGGGTTGGAGCCTTGGCGTGAAAGCGTGTCCGAAAAAACGTGCTGCTGTGTCATCCTTATCACTGACGTGTGTTGCATATACCATCGATACTACAGTTTTGTCACCACAGCTTGTCGTCCCATTATTTTGCTTTTTTTTATGAAACATATAAACAATGCCCGGTTACACCAACAGAGTTTTCGTGGTACCAGGCTATTGTGACATTTGGGCTTGACAGTATTGTCACATTCCTTCCTCACATTATGTTATCGCCCCGTTACACTGCCAGTAATTCTAAGCGCGAACCGTACCTGCAGTGTTTGAGAATCTTCAGGACTGTAGTAGATCGTTTTGTTAAGATTACGCCTACTTCGCGAACATTACATATTATTCTGGAACCTACGGGGCCCCTAGCGTCATCGCAAGAATGTTAGATGACACGTGTATGAATGCCAACGTGCTTTATCGCTTGTCAGTTGATCGACGGCCGACGCTCTGCTCGCCGCTATCAGTGCCACTGTCTTGCTGTAATCTGACTTTCCTTTTCCGTGGCCACAAGTTCGGCCCAAATGAACAGTTTGATATTCGACCTGCAGTCTGCTCCCTTCGTCCACATCATGACCCAGTGACAGCATTTATAAACCGAACCACTTCGGATCAATGTAGAAGTGGGGCCCTGGCTAGCCATGCCTTATAGAAAGTCAGATCGTTCAACTAAACAGGCGTCATGCTGGGGGGGGGGGGGGGGGGTATTCTTAAATGAAAAGAAGATAAAAGTGAGCCCCGTAACTGTCTCTCAGGGGGGGGGAGGACACCTCAACAGTAGCTCACGAGAGATGTGGGTAAGCAGGAATCAAAAAGGATAGGAATTAAAGGTATATAGATAGAGAGGGGCAGGGACAGACAGACCCACATACGGAATTAAGGAGAGAAGATAGGAAAGGTGGACACACCCGCTGGAGTCCGAGGACGGGGAACCACTCAGCGAGAGCTCTTGTCGGCGTGTAGGGCCAACCCAGTCGGCCATAGCTGCGCTGTCGTCGGAGATCGTGGGGGCACAACCGGTCAACACGAAATCCAGCGAGCGAGTGAGGCGTCACACTGACTAACGACCTGACAATAGAACGTCACGTTGCTAAACCGTGCTTCCAAAATGTTGGAACGATCTTCCTCGCGTCCTATCGCTTGCTGAAACTAAAAGTTGCTTCTTCCTGTGTCCTTTTCTGTACTAGCCAGTGCTCAGAAGCAAGACCCTTACAAAACGTTCCAGACGTCCTATAGTGGCGAGTCGTATCTGTCACACGTGGACACCCGTGCCTACGATGACTTGGTTTATTATATACGCTCGAATAAAGAGCCGAGGGTCCAGCATCTCATTCGTGTCAGAAAAAATTTTTATTGGTCACCTTTATTTGCAACTCGGTGCAATATCCTCGTGATCCACGACGACGTTGTGCGCCACCCCAATAAGAGGCACCGAACGTTGACGAAATTTGTTTAGTGGAGCCAGACGCAGCACTTCTTGCCCTTTCCGCAGGATGCGCTTTCAGCTTGCAGTTCTTTGCATTGGCGGTCGAGCGGGTTGCACTCGCCTCCCTTGCCTTTGCAGCCGGTCAGTTTTGCTGAACAATAATAAAAAAACAATAATACAATGCGCCAAACACACACACCACGTTCAAATGCAAAGCGGCCGAGTATATATATATATATATATATATATATATATATATATGTGTGTGTGTGTGTGTGTGTGTGTGTGTGTGTGTGTGTGTGTGTGTAATGAAAAAATCTAACAGACAGTAATGCCAAGGAATGTATAGAGGAAGTTGTTAGACCCACTCGTGATGTAATTGTGAAGAAAGAAAGGTGGGTGAAAAGATAACATGCCGTGAAAAGAGTATGCCACACTCGCCGCCATGGCTGCAGGTGGCACTGACTGACATTACTACGTTTAAATTCACATATAAACCCAATAAAGTGGTTGTGGGGATAGCCGTTAAGGTAGCTCAGTGGTAGAGCATCGAACGCGTTATTCGAAGGTCGCAGGTTCGGTTCCTGCTCACGGCAAGTTATCTTTTCACCCACTTTTTTTCTTCACATTTGCATTACAATTGGGTCTAATAACTTCCCCTATACATTCCTTGGCATTATTGTCTGTTAGATTTCATTATTATTGTGTCAAAAAACACGGAAAAACGAGCCCTTAAATATACACTTCTTTCCCTTATGCGAGCCCCTTATGGAAGTGCATGACCATTGTTCGCTGTTACTTCGAGTTTCACACCCACCATGCCCATCTTTAATCAACGTAAACCTGAAACGTTATGTGGAATACCTTTAAAACGATAAAACAAGCAAAAAGAAATATTGTTACAAGTGGCGACAAACAAAAAAGAATGCTTGATCGAGGCGATGAAGACGCAGATTGCTATTGCGCTCGCATTGTTGGTGGTGTTCTGCCATCTTGGCTGTATGACTGCCCGTGTACATTCTGCATATACAGTTCATCCTTTCTTTCGGATATTCTCATTCCCGTGACAGTATGTTTCACTAAATGAGCGAATATTTTCGTATAAAAATGGGTCTTATTTTACTTAAACAAGTATATGTCTCGAAAACGGGGGCTGATTATTGAGAAAACAGACTTACACAAGTCACAACAGACGGTCGAGCATCCCCCGTAGCTCAGGCGAGCCTCCTGTGGACAGTCTGATTGCGGGAGACAGCCGAAGCCCTTGGATACGCATTCGTTGGCCCGGCTGGACGCTTCATGCGAGCAAATAGAAATCTTGTGGGTGAATAAAAAAAATACCCACGTATTGAGACGACGCTATGTCCCCTCTTCTAAGCCCCAAAAGTATTCGGCATTAAGTAATAAATATCACTTCACTCACACTGTTACTCTCATTGTAAGTTCGTAATGCGGTTTCGGTGACCGGGAACAATTATATCTCATTTGAGGGTCCAAAACCACGATTTGACCAAGAGGAAAGCTCCGGAAATTTCGACCTCTTTGTGTTCTTTAACGCGCCCTTAAATCTAAGCACATGGACCATCGAGCATTTTCTCCTCCATCGAAAAGACTCGCTCACTGGAGTCCGTGCCGACCGGCTGTGCCCTCGCGATCTCCGAAGACAGTGCAGCTCTGGCCGACTGGGTTGGTCCTACGCCCCCTCCAGACGCCGTTCTCCGACGACGTCGACAGCGTAGCTCTGGCTGACTGGATTAGCCCTACGCCATCTCCTGTAGCCGACAAGAGCTCTCGTCGCCAGTGGTGTCCCGTCCTCGGATTCCTGCAACCGTGTCCATCTTTCCTGTCTTCTCCTTACTTCCGTCGTTCGCTGTCCCTGCGCCTCGCTCTCTCCTTCTCTCTCTCTACCTTTTAATCCTATCCGTTTAATCCCTTCTCTTCTACCCCCATCCTTCGTGAGCTACTGTTGAGTGTCCTCCCCCTGAGAGAGTTATGGGGCTCACTTTTGTCTTTTTTTTTTTCATTTAAAATCACCCCCCCCCCCCATCGAAAACGTATAGCTGCCGCCGCTGGGATTCGATCCTGCGACCTGTTGGCCAGCAGTCGAGTACCATACCAAGTGGATCACCGTGGCGGGTCGATAACAGGCACTCGAGCGGCCAGCTTTGCGTTAATAGTAGATCAGCTTTACATTTGGCACAAGGAAGAGAACACGCCAAGCAACGAGAGTATCATGACCTCCTGAACTTGAAGCTTGCGCCTATAGGAGCGCTGACACAAAAAGATTGTCCCTTTTTCTTTTTTTTGTTTATTTATTTGTGTGTGGGGGGGTCATGTTATGACCCGCTGATCAAAGCGGGAAACATCATTGGCGTGAGTGCGCAAAGGTTATTTATTTAGAGACGTTTTTAGAGCGCCTTAGTCTCAGTTTCGGTTTCAAAGAGCAGCAAGCTAGAGGCAGGAGCAGTACCAGTGTTAAGGTAAACACAGCAGACCACGTGACCGTAGAAAATTGTGGCGTGGCGTCGCATGCGAGCGGACGCCGTACTGACAACGTTACTAGCTCCGGTGTAGTAACGTTGGTACTGTCCAACGTTACTAGTATTCAGTGATGTTGGTCAGTGCCAACGTTACTAGTATCTGTAGTAATGTTGGCACTGACAGCCAGCACACGCAGAGCTGCAGGTACAGAGGAAGAAGTCGCAGTTAGCGCAAGCAACCATGCCAACACAAACTCGTGACGTAGGTTTGTTTACATAGCCGCCGCATGAATGTCGGCGTCGCGATGGGCTCCGCATGTCATTCAGTTGTGCGGAATGGCTTTTAATATTGATTTTAAATATGTTATAGGCTGTATTTGTCCTTGACACTTCGTAGATGTGAATGCCTCTACAGAAATCTAGCTCACTGATAGTGTCGTCGTCAAAATTTTGTTTCAGTGCTCCTTTAATGTTGCAGAAAGGGCTGTGTGCCGGCAATTAAGGAAAAAAAGCTGCTTAATTTTCCTATCCTTTTCTTTATTTTTTTCTTTTCACACGCTTTTCGTTGTTTCCGACTTGGTGACGATTATCATAATAAAAAAAAGAAATAAACAGGTCAGGCGTTGAGAGAAACGTTGAAAGCTTGTCGAATGGGTGGCATGTAAAAACATGAGCTGATAGTTATTGTTAAAAGATTTTCATTTGTTTACTTCTGAGGTGTTTATTTACTTCTCACACTTCCACAACAAAAGCACAACTTGTTAAGCAACCATCTGATAATAGCTTGCCGTAGTTATGCTTCTGGAAGTGAGAGAGACAGCATCGAATAGGTAGAGCATCGGACACAATATCTGAAGGTTGTATAGGTTCGGTTCCAAGCGACGGCAAGTTGATTTTTTTTATCCACCTGAAGTTCTATACTTTGACGTCACAATTATTACACTACAGTTAAAAACGACAAATAATGTACCCTATGCCGACGTTGGCTTCGTTCTCCGTTTTAATTATGTTGCGGCCGACAAACAAACGAGTCTTGATTCATTTCGCCTTATTGCCTAATTAGCAAAGCAGACGTGAAGTGCAGAAATTTTCAAGAAAAAAAATTGCCAGCTGTTTTTACACCCCCGAATATCAGTGAATAGCCATGTTCCCTCAAAAAACGCAGGAAATTATGTCGCCCTTCTTCAGGACTATTATCACCATCGTCATTGCAAGAGACAACTCTGGAAGCTGGAGCTGCAGTGAAGTTTAGTGCGCATATTATAGCAGCTTTGTGGGCCGTTAAAAAACCGCCCGAAGCAGCTCTGCGGCCATATCTGCAGAGGATTCTACTATTTACAGAAACTGCACTTTAGACGTTTCCCACCAGTATTTTAAAGACAGCAGCCCATCAAAGTAACACGTCACCTTTATTAAAACGTAGTCGTACTTCAATTGGTTGTTGCTTGAAGAAGGCAACGGAGGAATGAAAATATTTCTCAAGCTTGACTGAACTGAACCCGATGAATGTAGTTAGTACGTTTAGTGCACTTTATTTGGCGTTGAAGGCGAAAAGAAGTTACGCAAAGCACCACAGACGGTCTATCTCAGTTAAGGCTAATACGTCATGAGCGAGATGATCAGCAAATGCTTCAAGCTTTCGATTGACTTATTCTCGGGTGACATAAATTATCTGGGTGATTAGATCGGCGTACGGTTACGTGCGGGACCCTGTTTTTTGGGGTGGATATGTCGATACGTTTTTTTTTTCGCAATATTATATTGCATTTAACCTGAAATAATAGTAACACGAATCGTTGTAGTTTTACGCCTCAAAAACAACGATATGCTTATGGGAATCATTGCTGCGGAATGCTGCGGTAACTTCGACCACCGTGCGGGGTTTTTTTTAACATGCACCTAAATCTAAGCACCCAAACAAACCCTATAGCGCGCCTCTCTGCCGCCGTATTCCATAGCGTGTTACGTGCACGCCACAACCAAACCATGCGATGGTTCGAGTGTGAGGCTTGTAGGACGGCTCAAGTGAAACTGTCCTGGTGGCTTACCGAGAACCAGGGCGAAGACGACGACGACGAAGACTGGAAGCGTGGCTGCCATGGCTGCGAGGCTACGTTTGTTGCTGGAAGGTCGGCTTACTCGGCCCTGGTGGCTGCTTTTCAATGCCCGTCACGACTTGCGAGCGGCGCGTTTTATTTCTTCCCCCTTTCGACGGGATGTGCAGACCACGTGCTTGAGAGGGGCACACGCGAAAGTTGTTTTGTTTCCGCACACTTGGCGGGAAAGATCGCGCAACTTTCCTAGCCTCCTTTTCACTGCATTCATTAACTTGTCTTTTTTTTTATCTTTACCTTCCGGCGTTGCGGAGGGCCAGCTGGTTTCGCGATGCACAAGCATGTCCTTGTGCAATTACGAGTTGCACGCGGCGGTTGCAAGTGAACCGTGACGCAGTGGCCGCTTGTAGAACTAAGTATGCGGATATTTATTTAAGGGAACGTTTTGGCATATAAAATGGTCAAGAACAGCCAAGATATGGCTGCCATAGCTGCAGGCCAAGATTTGCACTTGTAGTGGCAATGGTTCATGTAATTTGTAGCAACGTATCATGAAACGGAAATACCATTATGACGGGAGGAACGCGCGTAGCACCATTTTTGCTATCAAACCACGACATAGTGCGAACAGACTTATACGGGAGACAATTAGTTGTCATGAGAGCTGGAAGTAAGCTGCGTGTTCACCGCGATGCTTCGATGGAGGGCGCTACGTGTGTGACCCCTGTGGCCTCGATAAGAAGCCGTATATGAACAGCCGGAAAAACAGTTCGGTATACTACCTCCAAAATGGTAGGTGCATAAAAAACAAGAAGAGGGAAGAGTGGACTAGAGAACAAACAGGGGTTAAGGATATCATAGTTGAAATTAAGGAGAGGAAATTGACATGGGCCGGGCATATAGCGCGTAGACAGGATAACCGCTGGTCATTAAGGGTAACTAACTGGATTCCCAGAGAAGGCAAGCGGGTTAGGGAGAGACAGAAGGTGGTGGTCAGATGAGATTAAGAAGTTTGCGGGTATAAATTGGCAGCAGCAAGCACAAGACCGAGTTAACTGGCGGAATATGGAAGAGGCCTTTGTCCTGCAATGGACGTAGTCAGGATGATTATGATGATGATGATGATGAGGAGGAGGAGGAGGAGGAGGAGGAGGATGATACTACCTACAAGCGTGGCACTGTTCGTCACGCCTTTCGAGTGCACTGTCCTTGACACTGTTCCTCTCGCTGTTTCACGAACAACGAAGACATCGACAACCGCAGAACGCTGATTGGGTCGCGGTGGCTGCAAGAGTAAGCTCGGTTAGCTCACTTCCGGGCTATAACGCAATTAGTTAGCTGCTTTGCAGCACTTATTGTAGTGGACGGAGGACACGACCACCAGTACCAGCCAGTTTCTCTTGAAACAACTCAGTTCACCTCTTTTGGTCGCTTCATCACGAGCTCAAAAGAGTTACCACGTTAATTTCTTCCCTGCATCTCGTTTGAAGTGCCTTTTGTCCCGCCGCGGTGGTCTAGTGGCTAAGGTACTCGGCTATACTGACCCGCAGGTCGCCGGATCGAATCCCTGCTGCAGCGGCTGCATTTCCGATGGAGGCGGGAATGTTGCAGGCCCGTGTGCTCAGATTCGGGCGCACGTTAAAGAACCCCACGTGGTCGAAATTTCCGAAGCCCTTCGCTACGCCGTCTCTCATCTTCCTATCGTGTTTTTGGGACGTTAAACCTCACATATCAATCAATCAAGTGCATTTTCCATTTATTTTAAAGATTTATTCTATTCCATGCCGCATAACGAAATGTGCGCCTCCGTTTAGGAGTGCGATGAGCATAATGGCGCACGACTGCGTTCCGGAGCATGTTTGTAGGTAATTTCATGACGTCACTGAAATTTTATCTTCAGTCCACTTTTATCTGTTTCTACAATGAACTGCACTTGCAAAACAAACGTATTTGTTTTGTAAGTGGGCTCTTGAGTTGCCTTGTGCTCTGCCATTTTGCTCCCCCATTTTGCTCCCCCAACGAATGATTGAGAGGATTTAAATGTATTATTTATTTTTATTTTTTTTTTTCATTTCAAGAAGAGCTGCATTTTTACTGACAGTTTTGTTGAACAGGTTTTAGCCGCTTTTCGGCAATGTGGGAAGGACACTCGCTTGAGACGTGAAAATCATCTGCGTGATTCAAACTTATTTTTGGAAATTTAGTTTTTCCTAAATAAAGTTTGCTTTTGTTAGTCATATATATCCCGCGGTCGCACATAGGTGTCATGCAATATGAAACCACTCATTCAATTGCCACATTCCAGCGAAAATACACGCTCATCAAGGTCATGGTAACCGCTACATCAACTGCGCTTTTTATCAGAAAGTGACTCAAAATGTATGCAAAAAACAGAACCGTACATTCCTGCGCGAACACAGAAATATATGCAGGCTCTAGCACGCAGCCTTTGCTAAGCACACCTATACCAAGTTCCTCATGATATTCCCAGAGACGATATTTCTGTTATCGTGCAACTTCACCGAAGCCTGGCTGCCACATGCTTGCGACAGTGTACAGACGTGTGCGGCTACAACAAGTGCACGTGTCGTTTTGTACCTACGTCTAAACAGAATAGACAAGAGAATAAAAGTGAAGGAATAAAAAACAGGAGTACAACCACACTACCGGAAGTTCAAAGCTAATTAAGAACTACAAAGAATTTTCTACTATCAGAACAGGAAGTATTTCATTTTTTCCCTTTTCTCTCGCTTGCATCTCTCTATGATAAATTTGTGAAAATATGGCGTAGACCACAACGTATTACTATTCAGTTTCTATACACTTGTCACTCGGGTCGAATCGTATGTATGGGGGCACACCTTCTTTGCATGTCTTAGCCACTCAATTATTACGTTCGTCGCTTCACCATTGAGAGCGACACATTAGGTCGTAACCATAGGGGCATTGCTGGTGTTATGCATCCTGAAGCGGTTATCGTCAAGTTAGATCAGTTAAGCCTTACTTGCGCTTGAAGGTATAAAGAGCTCAAACAGAAGACACACGCGCGCGCGCGCGTGCACACCAACACGCACACACGACATGGGCTCTGCATCGCGGGAGAGACTAACAAAATACCCTGCATCGGGTTCTACTCGATGGTTAGTCTTCTGGAGCTCAACTAAGCAGCGCGGCATTCTATCTCACCCGGTACGGTCCTATACAATATACGATCGGCTCCGTAGACATGCCCTCAGATTCTGGTCAACAACAGCATTACAGTTTATACATTTATCTGAATAAGCTCCCGGGTGACATACACTGTAGGTCACTGGGTTTGTGAAGGATATGTTTCGTAACGGACGACATGCGATTGCCTGGCCTGTATTGATGCGGCGACCGCGTTTTCGATGTTTAGGCGGAAACGCCCGAAGGCCGTGTGTGAAGATTCAGGTACACGTGAAGGAACCCCAGGTGGTCTTAATTTCCAGAACCGTCCACTACGGCGTCTCGGTCATATCATGTTTCTGCAACGTTTTGTGGTTAGAGAAAAAAGAAAAGTGAGCCCTGTAACTGTCTGCATCAGCGTGCGACACCTGAACAGTAGCTCACAAGGGATGGGGGTAAGGAGGAATTAAAAGGTTAGAATTAAAGATAGATAGATAGATAGATAGATAGATAGATAGATAGATAGATAGATAGATAGATAGATAGATAGATAGATAGATAGATAGATAGATAGATAGATAGATAGATAGATAGATAGATAGATAGATAGATAGATAGATAGATAGATAGATAGATAGATAGATAGATAGATAGATAGATAGATAGATAGATAGATAGATAGATAGATAGATAGATAGATAGAGAGATGCCCAAAAACAGCGAGCGACGACAGAAGAGATAGGAAAGATGAAACACGGTCACAGGAGTCCGAGGACGGGGCACCACTTGCGAGAGTTCTTGTCGGTGACAGGAGATGGCGTGAACCCCATTACGTATTACTATATTATTATTGAATCAGTGCCATGTAAGTTTGATATAGAAGATAAAGTACTCTCCACTGACTCATGCTCTTTCGTGCTTCCCTACGAAAAAAAAAAAAAGCCCTTTTCTACTTCAGGGGTAATCTTTTCCGTTCTAAAATGTTATTGGGGTATCCCTAAATTCTGGTGTGCAACCGCAATAGCTGCAGTGCAAATCCACAGGCAAATCAGGACGCCTGCTCTCCAGCATTGTTCTTTTAATATTGCGTTGATACACTGTTGACCGATGTACTGTTGATGTCACGAAAAGGAATCATGCAATGCATGGCCTCCAAGATCTCGCAGGCAATGTGCATTGCAAGTGAGTTCTGCGAAATCCCGCAAGGTGGCGGAAGGGTTCAGAAAGAGGGCTCGCTTTTTACCGAAATTTCGCGGCGATCTATTCGCGAGGCAATAAGCTCCGATACTGATGTTATTCGATGATTGCTTGCACAAGTGATTCAAAACACCTTTGATACGGAACTGGAACAAATTATCCCATGCTTCTCTCGGTGATTGCTTATCGATGGCGCGTGTCATATGAGGAAATAGAACACTTGTCATGTAAACTATAACGCCTTCAAGGAGTATTAAGATTCATTGACCTTGTGTTCACAAGACATTTCGGTATTATGAGTCATGTAGGATTACAGGCATTCATATTGCAACGATGAACGAAATGAGGTTTCTAGAAATTCGGTGCATGGAAGTTGTGGCATGCGTATAGTATTTTTTCTAAAGGACCTGGCCATGAAGAATTGTATTGGACCACAGGCAAGTTAATCAGGCCACGGATTAACTACTTGTGTACTCGCAACCTCAGATGTCACGCAAACATCATAATAGCGTCCACAAACACGTACGAGGGAAGTCTGTTGGGGCACGGTATCATTCTACTCTTCCGCTGCCACGCTCGCATACGATGACGTGTCGTTCGCGACACTCGCAAGTTCTGTTGAGTTCGCGACCGCAGAGATTGCAGCCGAGGAGGGCGACGACACTCTGAGCTTCGTGAAGTTGTGAGCGTGCCGTTCGGACAAGGAGGCGTCGGCCGACGTGGTTGTCTCGAAGACTCCGGCGGCAAGGGCGGCATCGTCCAAGCGCACCTGACACCCCGAGCGCAACGGCGAGAATGAGAA